CTTGTGCTTGACAATATACAAAATTAACCTTACAGACAGTAAACAACTTTGCTCCAGCGCTAGCTGCTTGGCCTCAAACACCCATAATCTGTTATTCTAACAACCTTTTTATCTCATCTACAAACAAGGACAGAAACTGAACACAATTGCTAAAGGAAAACATATACATGCAACACTTTCCAGCTTCCTCTTTAACCACACAACACAAACTACTTGATGACCTGAATTAATTCAAAAATATGCCATTCTCTGATGTACCAAGTTCATCTAATACTAGAGTATGTATTTATTAATCATTACCTTCATATCAACAATCTTCTCACAGTTAAAATGCATTCCTATAGAGTTATTGAGATTGAGAGAGAAAAGACATAGCGGACTAAACTAGTAGTTTCACAAAAGTTTGGGTACCTCTGCCACTGTTTGACAAACAAAAAACAAATTAAGATAAAAAAATCATGGAAAATGTATGAAATTAAATGTTTATTGCATTTATTTGTAATTGCTATTATTTTATGGCTCCATCCATCTCCTCCTAGTCTTGATAGAAAATGCATAAATCAAAGATCATTGACCATAAAGAGGAATTGGAAAGAGATAGATAAAGAGTGATGTAATCAATGTATTAAATACTACTAAAAAGAAAAGATGGTTGAAAGTACCTTAAAAATCGGCTCCAATGCTTCTTTGTATTGTCTATTAACCTCTCGCTTATACTACATTAAAACAAAGATTAGTTAAATAATAAATCAAGGGAAAGGGAAGTAAAATGTATTGTTTAATATTGTCAACTGCATTTTATATATATATAGAATTACTAGTGCATGAAGAAAAGTTTTGGATAAGAAACTCATAAGAGAGATCATCAAACCTTTAAACAAACGGCTTTGAACTTCTTAGTGAACTTCTTAGTAATTCCCTCCTCCTCAAAAAATTCCTTCTTCTTTCTTCCTGTTCCTTAACCTATATTAAAACAAAGATTAGTTAAATAATAAATCAAGGGAAAGGGAAGTAAAAATGTATTGTTTAATATTGTCAACTGTATTATATATATATATATAT